CACTGGCGGCAGCCCGTAAATATACAAACATACATACATACATACATACATACACACACACACTATAGTATATACTACAGTTCTGCCACAAGGTGTGGCTGACCGAGCTGCCTGGGAGGATGCTCCTGTGCATAGCCCCCAGTTACCTGCACGATACGAAGGAGTCTCTGAGTGGCTTCGGAAGCTCCCGACTGAGCTGTCCCCTCTCTCTGCGCCTCTGGAGCCACCTCGGGCTGCGGCATGGTGTTGTACCCTGAAGCAGCCAGATTGGCTTGGAGCCTGGGGCGGGAGGGCGCCAGGCCATGGAGTCCCCCTTCCTGGAGCTCTGAGTTGTCGGCCTTTGGCTGGCGGAGGAGCGCCTTTTCAAGCGGGGCCGGGCTGCGCGTCGACGCTGCGACCGCTGATGCTCTCTCGATCCTGCCTCCCCGTGGCACCGCCGGGGACGGTCCCGTGCTGCTCATGGAGAGACGAATCGAGGGCCAGGTAATCGGTCTGACAGTGTTGAAAATCTGGATAAAAGTCTGAGACATGGCAAGGGGTTCTAAGCACCGGGGTCAGAAAAGCCGTGCCAGGCTGGCCCCATCGGCCACGAGATCTGATTTGCCCATTGTTCGATTCACCAGCCGCTCCTGCCGGAGGGCAAAGCGGTGATGTCGCGGCAGAGAAATCTTAGATGCGTCCTTTTGGAACAGCTCCGAGGACATCTCCCGTGTCTTTTTGTCCTGCAGACTGGCTCAGACTGGGGCTCGAAATCTTTATTCGGCTGGCCCGCCATCCATGTCTTCTCCAACTGAAGCAGTCCTTGGCATCCAAATTCGCACGCTCCGCTGCGTGGCTCTTGTGGCGGCAGCGCTCGTTCCGCACCTCGTCCAGGCGCGAAAAAGGATCACGAAAACGAGGCCCGAAAAAAAGCTCGGCCCATGGCGTCGTGCCACTTCAGATCCACGGACGTCGACCAGAACTCCTGAGTCTCAAGGCCCCAGCGCGCAGTCTTCGGGTGAATGGGCCCTCGGGGATCCGACCTTGGGCATGAACTGCGCATCCCGCTTTGTCCCGGGCCCGTTCACCGCACTGCAGCCAACCGCGTGTGCAGCGACGCTCTCCGAATTGCATGTACCGGGCACTGATCGTCGCACTGACGCTAAGCTAAAACTTGTGCCGCGGAATGTGCAAGCTCCCGGACCTGCTTGCTGGCAGCACTGCATGGTTGCCAGACATCAAGGCATACTTCATCTCCTGCGGCCTACAGTGGAACTCTGGTGTCGGGATGTGTCGGGTGCCAAGTCGCATGGCCCGGAGCCCCGCCCCACCGCCTGGGCAAGTTCATGGCCTCTGGCGCCCCGTTCTTCTGCACGTAGCTCTGCCGCAGGTTCTCGAGAAGCTCCTTGCAAGCGACGAAGCGAAGGGCCAAGGGCTGCTGTCCAGAAGCGAATTTGAGGTCCTTCTGCCTGCTGGCTGAATACACTGACTTGTCGGAGCCCTTTTCGTCAAAGATGTTGGACGTCATGTGCACCAGCCGGCGCTCCCTGTTCGTGCACTCCACGTGCATGAGTGCACACGACAACCTCCTAGCTGGTAAGGGAAAGGCCTTGCAGTCAGCTCCGCCATGGCACCTAAACTCGCGTCCTACTCCGGCTACTTCTTCTTTTTAGATCTCGGTTGTGTCGCTTGCGTCCCCTTTCCTGCGCTTGATTACAGTATTGGTCCGGTCGACAGCGTCCACCTGTGTCTCCACTGCCTCTCCTTCTCTGCTCAAGATCCGCCTGCTGGCGACAACTGCAGACGCAGGCATCAAAAAGAAAGCCACAGCGACGGAGCAGCACAATGCACGGAGGACAACCCGAGCAGACGCCACGTTTTCGAACTTTGCGCTAGCCCCTCTGGTGAATCACCCAGCCTCTCTGAAGCGCAACGTGTCGCAGTTTTTGCGACAACCCAAGTGGAGTTTCGCCCCACAATATTTTCATAACTCTTGCTCTATTAGCTTTAGGGAGATTGATGGAGCCGGCAGAGTCTTGTGTCGAAGGCTGCAGGTAACTGTCAACATGACCACCGTCTTCTGGATGAGTTCTACCGTACCTTTGCTGACCTAATTCCCTCCTTGTGTCCGGCCTCTTGTGACTCTTGTGTTATTTTGCATGGGTCTGCTGCCTGTCTACTCTGGACTCTGCACACAGCTTGAAGGCCGCTTCAACGGCATTGGCCTCGAAGCACAGACCGGGGAAGCTCCTATACCGCTATGCAAGCACAGGTCCATCTTGAGAAGTGAGATCACATCCCTTTCAAGGCAGTTTTGCTAAGATCCTGGCAAGGGGACAAGTGGTGCAAGACCTCACCACTCATCTTCTCCTGCCACGGCTTTTGCTTGTGCTGCGTCGGCGCCGCTTTGACCTGCTGCTATCGCTGCTTCTCCGCCTGAGCAAGGCTCATGCCGTCTCTGAACATCGCCGAACTTCATCTCAGTGCATCGGCCATGCCTTCGACGGCGGTCGCGGCTGCGATCTCGGCTGCGGCTTCGCTCTTTTCCACCACCTGCAAATCCGCTCACCGAGGCCAAGCCCTGCTGATGCACTGCCGCCAGCCCCGCCAGCCTCCACCTCCGCCCCTCGCTGCAGCTCGGGCGCGCTCACGCTCCAGGAAGAGGTCACGGCCTCGCTGCAAAGCCAGCGGATCAGGCGCTGCGGCGTGTGGCTTTCGGCTGAGGCCTGGACTCGTGACTTCCAGATTCCGCTCTGTGGCCGTGGGCGGTGCACCACGACCCCTACCCTTCCCCTGCATGTATTGCGCCTCACGGGCGACAATGCGAGGGCGAAAGGAAAGATGGCGAGAGGCTTGAGAAGCTTGAGGGACGCACCTTGAGGAGCATCCCATCTATCACAACTTGTCCAGCGTTTATGGCTTCCAGCGCCCTGCAGGAAACGCAGCGTGTCCTGTGCTCTCACTTCGGTGACAGTCTGGCCCTTCTAGCCTCTGTGCAGCTTCAGGCGTCGAGAAGCGAACCTGACAAGCTGAGAAAGGCTTCTGCGTCTGCAGAAGTCTGCAAACAGCTCTGTTGCTGCCTTGGGGGGCTCCTCTTCCGGGTTTTGCCGATTGCCCATGTGAACCAGATCCACCTGCGTGGCGCTGGGTTGCAGGCATGCGCCAGCACATGCTCTGCATCCTCCGTCTGGGTATGGCACCTGGCCAAACTGCTCCATGTGGCCTTTCAGCGCCTCAGCTGCAGCCAGAGCCAGATTTCTGTGCAGGACCGAGAAGGCATCTCTTGAGCCAAGCAGCAAGGCGGTTAATGCCCGGCACCACGCCCTCCGTAATCTGGATGCAGGTGCTCATGCTGCCTGCTTAGGCACACCCTGGCAATCCACCAACGGTTGCTTGAGTGAGCTGCCTGCGGGGTCGTGGGAGGGCCCGCCAACTTCGCTTCGATCGCCTAGCTGCAAACCTCCGCCGATTGCTCACTTCTCTTGCCCAGCACACTGCAGTTCAGCATGGCCTGGACGTTCAAAACTCCCATGTGGGGGGGCTTTGCTACAAATGGATGAAACCCGCCATTTGCTGAAGCCACAGGAGGAAACAAATAGAGAGATGCAGACGCTCAAGCAGCAGCGGTAGGCGACCTCTCTCGTGGCATGGGCTACTCGTGGCCAGGCCATACACCATCTGCGCCGCTTTTGCCCCTGCATCAGATTGGGTGTGCAGACATTTCATACATCTTGTATGCTATGCTTTCAATACACTTCCCGACTTTGTGTCGGGCGGCGTTTGAGATGCAACGACTATAGTGCGAAAAACAGAAGCATGTGCCAAGAGAACGTAACAAGGTGTCACCAAAATTTGCATATGCTTCTGCTGGAGACTGCATGCAGTTGAGGCATCAACCGCATGCTATCTTAATTTGCAGCTAGACAAGACATTGCCCACAAACTTGACTACTCGCCAACGGAAAGTTGGCGAGTCGGAAACGGAAAGAGCTAACAAAGCTGCGAACTCACCGAGATTTCCGAGCTGGGGTGCCCGACGTGCCCGAGTTCGAGTTCGCAGTTCCAAACGTAAAACGGATGGAAACACGGCGGCACACTGTGCAGGGGGAATGTGAGCCGTGTCACAGTGCTCTCAGAGGATTGCACTTCCAACCGAAGGGTCTGTACAGAGAGTGCCTCGTGAGAGATCTTGTCGTCACACGCTGAGAAGCAGAGAGAGAGCGGTAAGGCTGGCACGTCGCGGAGGGACTTTCGACAGCTGACGGCCAGCCACAAAACCTGCCGAAACCAACAGCCGGCTCTCTCAACCTCACGCTTAAAGGACAAGCCACAGGCCCTCGCCTAGACACTGCGACCTGGAAGCATGAGCAAGCATGAGCAGCATGAGCATGAGGAAGAGAGTGCGAAAATTAAAAGGGCGCCCTTTGCCCCTGAACTCAGGCAGCCACATGTCCGGCCGTCAGCCTCTGGGCCTCTGGCCTCCCAGTAGAAGTCTTCCGTCTCTTCCCTTTTTGTGACCCCTTCCTTTCTTCACTTCCAAGGTCCGCACAGGCAGGTTAGCCAACCGCCACAGAGGCAGAACACTGTATGTGCCTCAGATGTGCAGAGCTGCAATGCCCAATGATCGGAGAAACCGATAGAAACTCTGAGGCTGATGCTGCTGCGAAGCCGAGGAGACATGCAAAACGGATATTCCAACAGCCTTCGGATGAAGTGGCAAGTTCGGAACAAATCATCTTTTCAGTTTGCGCGATTCTCAGGATACTCATACCACGCCTGTCACATGCGCATGCCTCATAGCATGAGACCGAAGGCACAGTCCGCTTTGTGCGAAGCATGCCTGGTGGGAGACAACTCGAAGCGAAACATCTGCAGGCTGCGCACCCTGCCTCCAGACATCATGCCGCTTTTGAGGGCGCTGGCATGGACATGTGAACTGTGTTAAGGTTGAGGCCTCAGAGACATGCAAAAACCTTCGTGTGCTTTGCTTCTGCATTGCCCTGGGACCGGGCGAAATCATCGCTCCAGTCTGAGAACCTGGGAACATTGCGGCACAGAGGCGCAAAGGTCAACAAGAGCCTGTGCGGCTCGCGAGGCTCCCGAAGGGTGCCGTGCAGACGTGTGTCACGCGTGAAGAGAAAAAAAAGGGCACACAGCAGCTTGGGCGGCTCCCTCGTGGCAGCTCCGAGCTCCAGGCGTTGGAACGCTTCCGTGCAGGTCGCCTCAGGCGGCCCTGCAGGCGGCCTCGCAGAGGGGAGAATACATTTTGGATTGAACAAAGCAAACCCAGCACCAGGCTGCAGATGGACAGAGAGATGGCAGAGAACAAGAGCACACAGAGGCTCCGGCTGCACCCGACTTTCTGCCCTCTGCATCAAGCCAGCTGGCGACGATCCTGCCATACCTTCAGCCCGGGCGTTTCAAGAGCGAAGGCAATGAGAAAGTCTTTGTAGCCCGGCCTGGAGACTTTGAGGGACGGCAGCTCTGCGCACAGCAACTCGCGCGCTCTGGCCAGATCGGGCCCATCCAGGGCCTCAAGCTGGCCCAGCTGAGACATGACCCATGCGCAGCTTGCAGAACGTGCCGGGGTGCCTGTAGAAGGAGACGTACAGCTGAATGGCCGTGTCGTGCATGGGCCTGGCCGGCCAAGGAAGCATCCCTCGCGCTCCAGCAACGAGCTTAAGAGAGGCACAACAGCGGCATACAGAGGCATGCAGAGGTACAGACCATGAACGTCAGCAGCCCTTGTTCCTCGAAAGCTCGACAGCCACTAACTGGCCACTCAAACTGGGGCGACTCTTTGCTGGAGGTCCTGGACGATGGCTCGCGCCAGGGAGATCGCATCCTCTTTACAAAGCTGGGACCTGAACTCGGCAAAGCCCAGAGCCTAAAACACTCGCTTCCCGTAACTTGGGGGGCCCAGGCAATGCTGCAGCAACCACTGCACTCCCGAAGGAATCCTGGCAAATGGGCACGATCTCCTTTCTGAGCTCCTGCGGGGCCACGCACTCATTTCGCATATCCCAACAAAATTAGAAGGCGCTGGGGGCAAGGAAGAAAATCCGAGCCTCGGCCAGCTTGTGACGATGAGCTGGTGTACCATGCTCGAGCAAATTCTGCAAGACCTGCAACAAGCTCACGCAAGAGGCTAAGGCCTACGTCGGACCCCGCAAAAAAAAAGAGAGACCAGCACTTCTCTCATGAAAAGAAGTCGTCCAAGGCTGCAGCATAGTTGCCGTAGGGGTGGCGTGCAATCCCACTAACATCAGACAGGATGGCGTTCGCCACGCACTCCACCTTGGAGGCTCGGAGGGCAGAGGAGCGCAAGTAAGCATGGGGAGCCAGAGTCCAGCCTGAGCTGTAGAACAGCGTTCTAGCAGCCTGACAGCCAAACATCGCAGCGCAAAAAGTTGGAAAGCAAGTGCAAAGAGAAGAAAGTAAGGCATCGCCTTTGAATTATGCGGCAGCCGTATTTGTGGCGAGCAGCCTGGAACAAATTCATGGTCATGGCCCGGCGATTTTTTGAGCATCACGGCCCCCTCTCTGAGGCACCGGCCAGTTCCACAAAACCGTTGCAAGCCATGATCTCGTCGATGATGAACTGACAGTCTGCAGGCCTCAAACGCACAAATTGGCTCGCGTAGTGATTGCAATCACTCAATCTGTGCCCTTCGGTTGCCGGCCTGGACGAGGTGATGCACTTCTGAAGGACATGATTCGCATGAGGGCATCGCATGGCATCCAGCACATGCCCAGCGACTTCTGCCACAATAAGGCGCCGAAGATCCTCACCGGCTTGCTCCAGCGCAAGCTGAACGTCTCGGCAACCTTTGGAATCCTGCGACAGCTCCCAGACGCGTCCAACCAGACTCGTCATGCCACCAGTCATGCCGCCGGTAATGCTGCCAGCAACGCCACCGGTCAAAACAATGTCTCTGCCACCACAGCATCCACCGCTGCTAAGGTTTCCCAGCCCGCATTCTATCTTTCGCGCGCCGAGCAAACGCGGCAGAGTATCCTGCATGCGGTCCTCTTCTTGCCGCACCGATCGCTCTGCACGAACAACTCCCGCGCTAAGATAGCTGGCCCAAGGTGGATCTTCGTTGGAATTTATCCTCTCGATCAACGCTCGGAGGGGAAAAGCCAAAGCCCTGGGCTTCGGTGGCTTGGCTGTGTGCCTTCCGCGACGCGTGCTCTGCATCATGCTGCGGCCACAGATTATGAACTACACTAGCCGCGCTTGGCTGTAGGGCCCAGAAGCTGCAAAACAGCCGGAAGCTCTCCCAATACCAACATGGCTCAACATCGCTCTTCGAAGCAGGGGCGGAACTCGCTGTCTTTTCTCGGCTCCGGCATACAAAGGAGCATGCTCTCGAACAGCCCTGAAGACGTGCAACTCTTGTAGTGTCGCTTTGGACACATCTTCGCCCTGGCACACCTGCTAACTGCTATCATGTTCACTCGCCTGCAGGCCATACAAACTTCAGCATCTCGGACCGTAAAAAAGTCCGGCACCGGGAGAGGTTGTTGTACCCTGGGCGCCGCCCCACCCAGCATCTACAATGGTGCGCCTCGAAAGAAGGGGGCGAGGTGAAACACTTGCTGATTCTTGCCTTCCCGTAGAGCAGAAGCCTCTTCGTTCAAGCGCGGCCACGTCATTGCAGCCTTTGGTACGATCGCCTCAGGCCTCGTACGATCGGAAGGCCGATGATGCGACCCTTGCTCCACATCCTCGGGTCGTCTCCTGGTCGTCGCTGAGGTCCATGAAACTAAGCCTTCTCTGCATCTTCAGAGTTCAGACCATGGCGGCCATCAGGACGGGCTCGCCCATGTGCTCCCGGAGTTTGACCGGCCTTTCTCTGGCTCGTTTGCAGAGAAAATTCAGGCTGCAGAGACGCCCCTCACGTCCACGTCTTGCATGTTGTCTTTGCAGCACTGTAGCCCGTCTTTCCCGGATCATAGGCAGCCAGCACGCCAGGGCTATGGGTTGGTTGCTCAACGAAGACACACCCCCTCTTCCGGTGCTTTGCTGGAACTTGCTGGCTGCTTTCAGCTGGCGACTGATTGTCGTCAACGGTAGTCCGGCGTTTCTGCACCCCCGCCATGTACCCAGTTGAAGCGAGGACAGCGCCTCGATCGGGCATTCTAAGGTCTTCGATGCCTGGATGGTTCCAAGGACCGGGCTTGTTCACCTCCAAGGAGAGGTGGCTTGCTTTCAGCGCCACCTCTGCACGCCGAAACGGAACATCACACGCCGCACGAGGCACAGGGGAGCCAGGGCCGGCGCTGTCATTCGCATCTCGTCGACCAAACGGCACCTCAGAGCCCGCGATCCGCAGATGGCTGCGGAAAAAAGGGATCAGGTCCGTACCAGTTCGAGGTCCATGTGCAGATAAAGGCATCGGATTCCATCAGTAGCTGCAAGTTCAGCCTGGCATGATGCTGAGTTCTCATAACATTGAATGCCTCGACAGGCCAGCCGCACAAGGATTCCATGACCATCTGTCTGGCTCCAAGGAGCTTCTGCACCTCCATCAGAGGTCGCCTGCGCTGGCTGAGTTGCTGTGCCCTAAACCCTACTTGTGGAAAGGGAACCTGAAGTAGCTTGGCAAAAGGGGTCGAGGGATCTCTGAGGTGAAGGGATTCGGGCCATTCACACACACGAGCGAAGCTAATGGGGCCAGGGTTCCCTCGAACTGCCCGGTGCCTCTTCGACAGCCTCGAGACGTTCATGTACACCAGGCAGCCACTGCACCTTAGCTCAGGCATTCGCACTGTGCAGTCCATGCATGTCGTCGATCCGGTTTAAGGCCGGAACGAGAAGCTACGAGAGGCTTCCTACATGTAGCAAACGGGGCAAACGCACGACCGTAAAACTCCAAAGCAGGAGCCTCCAGCACAGCTGGGTCGTCCGAACCGAGATACAGCCTGCATCGGAGTTTGTGCCAATTGCCAAAACCTGCAAACTTAGGACTATGGATCGGCCAAAAGAAGTTGGAACGAATCTTCACAGCAACCGGGTCCATGCAGCCCTGTCAACCCGGCACGGGGCCCAAGGCGCATTGGCGCCTCTGCGCAGCTCGGAGGCGCGGTAGCTGCTTCTTGAAGGGCGCAAGCATCCGCGAAGAATCTGGGCAGCGTCGCTCCACCTGAAGCCACCCCGCCGAAAAAGAACCGAAACTTGCGCCTGCCTCCGCCTCCGCATCTGAACCCAGAATCCAGGAGTAGATGTGCATGTAGTCCTTGAACTCGTACTCTTTTGCCTGCCAGAGGGGCTGCGCGAAATAAACACTCCGAGCTGGACATGCTCAGCACTGCTCTCCGTCAATGAACCCTCAACTCTCAACCCCCTCGAAAACCGCGCTGAGCCCGGGCTACTCTTCCCCTGCAGTGCAGGTCTTGCCTCATAATACTTGTCTCCGTGCCGCACGTAACTCCCGAGCACCTCATCCTTTTGGGAGGGCGCGCTGCAGAACAGAAGTGAGATTCCTCATCCTCTTCGGTCCCTTCCTGCATCTCACCGACAAGGCTTTCCTTCCGGAGGCTCTGCAGCTCGTCCAGCGTAGAAGAACTTGCACCAGGCTTCTACAGCTGCGGCTGGTCATGTCATTCCTGGCACACGAAAGCAGCGTTGAACCCCGTGGGCCTGGGACGCACCAGGAAAGCCGCTGTCTCAAGATGGGGCTTCATCACTAATGTTCATGACCGGATGAGCATAACATATCATAAAGGCGCCTGCGCTCGCCACCACTTGATCCAGTAGTTCTTCGGGTACCTCCCAGCTTCAGTGCTACGCGTCTTTTTGGGCCTTGAGGGTTACTGCCGGTGCCTGGAGCATCTCAGCAACTCCTTGAACACGCGTGGGACCACCTCGGTGCCTCGCCCGACGCAAGGCCCCGCAAGCAAGGCCAGGCCGCAGCCCTGCCTCGAAGCTCTTCCTTGCCCCGATCCCGCTTCACCCCAATAAACCTCCCATGGAGAAGGTGACTACAGCTTCGGACAGGTTGACACCAAAACAACAAAGCGCCTGGGACCCTTCCCCGTCGGAGTGCAGGAGCTTACCGGCTTCAAGTAGCATCTTGGAAAGTTCGGGCGACGAGACATAACGCCGGCACAAGCTCTGCAGAAACTGAGGTGCTTGCTCGTAGGAAGTTGCTTTTATACCTCCAGGGCACTCGACCGTAGAGCCCTTCTGCTTCCCCCTGGTCCATGGATTTGCCCAATCGTCCTCCCAGGGAAGGAAACAAGCACTCCCGAACAAATTCACGAACTCTCCCGAGCACCTCTCCTTCGGCCAGAGGTAGATGCTTCCCTTATCCAAGGCAAAGGCCAGCACGGCCTTACGCGTCCGTAGCTCGCACATGCCAGGAGTCTTCAGTCTGAGACGTGCGGACAGGGATCGGCAGAGATGTGGATGTTGGAGCCCATGCCTGATCGAAACCTAAGGCAAGAGCGAGAAACACGCCCTTCCTCCATACCTTCGCTCCCATGTCCGGCTACTCTGAGTCCAAGACATGCCGTGCTCTACAAAGGACTTGTCGGTGCAGTCACGCGGAAACTGATGCTCCCTGCGCAGATCCCAGAGATTTGGCTTCGCACTCACAAAGAATGGTTCAACATGTACACGCAAATGGGTAATCATATATCCTTTAAAATATGGTACAAAATACAACAATATAGACTTTCGAAGAGTGGGCCAGTGCCTTGGGGCAGGAAGCCTCTAGCAAGCCCCCCAAAGGGCCGGGAGGGGGGTCCACAAAAATACAGATTCCAGATTTGGGGGCGACCACTGTTTGTTATTCTGCAGCTTTTTGGACCCCCCCCCCCCCCCCCCCCCCCCCCCCCCCCCC